ACAGAGAGCAGAAGATCCCACGCACACTCGCACGCACACACATCTACACTGACACACACACACACACACACACACACACACACACACACACACACACACACACACACACACACACACACACACACTGAAGCTTGACCCCATCCACATACACATGCAGACGGTTATTTTGACCTGTAGCCTTACAGAATAGCAGGACGTTTACTGTGCCTTACATTACAATAGGATTCAGGAAGAGCTCTGAGCTGTAAATGTTACTAATCTTCTGTGGAGAAAAATTCTGCTTCTGCAGAAACAAGACAAATACTGATAAGGCACATTTAATGGCTTTTAGCGTTATGACTTTAATGCATTTAATATTTGTTTTGTTTTTTGCTCCTTCCCTCACACTAGCTGTTTGCGCTTGAATTGTGTTTCCATGACCATAAATTATCAATAATGTGACAACTTTAAACATATTCCCATGACTGCGTTGTTAGGCGTGTTCAGTACTAATATGGTGTTCTATTAGTGGGTTTGTGGAACTACTTCCAGAGAGTCCCACCACCTCACGTGTTGTCGTGGTGATGCACCCTATTCATGTACTTCATATGCTGAGGAATCCCAGAGACCCGCAGAGCAGAGCAGTGTGGTGTGAGTGACAGGCAGCCAGAGACCAAGGCAGGGCATCACTCTTATTATACTAACTGACTAACTCACTGATCAGCCTGTGGCTCAGTCTAATTGATCAGCAGTAGTCTTCCCAGAAGCCCCACGGCCTGTGGCTTCTTCTTCCTTATTACATTAGGTCCACAGGAAGGACTAACGGTGTGTTTGTGTCGCATCCTGTTTAAAGCGAATTGTCTGTTGCCATGCCGAGGTACATAAACTATCTGACCACATTAACAGATGCCCTGTGTGTTCTGAACGCCGTACCCATCCTGGTCATCCGGGTCACCGCTGTGTGGGTGTGTGGGGTGGGTGGGTGGGTGTGTGTGTGTGGTGGGGTGGGTGGGGGGGGGTGGGGGGGGGTGCAGATATGTATGTGTGTGTGTGTGCTGCATGTGATGTATGTGTGTGTGTTTGTTGTTCCCTGTGGTTGTGTTGTGGTTATATATCAGTATAATCTACCTTACATAGAGTCTACAGTCCTGCCTGTCGCCCACACTGCCATCACAGCCTACACAAGGCATGCATGGTTCACGTTACCGTGTTGGAGGGTGATTGAATTACGGCATGGCCTAAGTGACATGAATGTAGATGTGGAATGACAGAGTGTGTCTGCTGGATGAACTATGAGAGGGAATGGAGAAAGAGACAGGGAAAGAGAGAGAGGGGTGGAAAGGTACTGTAGAGTAAGTGTGACAGTGGAATGATGTATGGTGGGGATTGAGGAGAAACAACATTTGCAATGTTTAATTAAACAATGATGGGTGAGAGAGTGGTGCTATGTGATGGATGGTGGTGCTACAGGCAGTAGCTAGGACAGTGACAGTGGTGGAGAGAGCTGGGTTATATTCATAAGGACACACCCACACCGTAACCATTTTTCTGTACGCAAAATGAAAATTAGCATTTCCTGTTGGACAAGTTCAGGTATTCCCTCCCTGTTTCATCCTGTTTTCTTCCCTTTGGTGCCTAATGAATAGGACCCAGTGCTGGTGAACTGTGGATGAACAGGGGTGGTGGGGAGTAGAGAGGAGACCGTCCCAGGCAGACAGGCAGACAGGAAGTCTGTGCTGGTTAGAGAGAGTGTCAGTCCGTCAGGCTGAAGACTGCCTCTACACATGACAGCCTCTGTTCCAGCTGTCTCTCCACATCAGCTTTCACATGCACCAGCACACAGCCCACACTCATTATAATATGCATAACCATCCCATTCCAGTACACAGTATAGACCTTCATACTGTACTGTAACCACCAGGGCATTACTGTTATATTAGTGCAGTGTTGCCAGTACAGACTACAGATGATGATGTATTAGCAGTGTTCCCATACAGTTTTGTCCTGTCCTCTCCTCACGGGTTTCTCTGTATCAAATGAACTATGGCTAATGTGACATCAGCAGGAAGCGCCGCTGACCCCAGAGTTGCGTATCACTGGAATGAAGTGGGGCCGAGCTCTTCTCCCAGGGTCAGACAGCAGTCAAAACACTGCTGCCCCGGTTTATGTGGGCTTGGTTCTGCTCCCTCATTCCACAACCACACACACACACACACACACACACACACACACACACACACACACACACACACACACACACACAGAGAAGGGGTGGAGGGAGGTGGGGTTGGATATGTGGGATGGAGAGAGGGTTGAGTGGAAACAGACGGTTGTCGTGGGGACAAGCCAACTCTTTTCTTTACATTTATTGTCTGAGAGGCCCTGGAAATTGGGTCATCCTGAGGCAGCACAGTGTGTGTGTGTTTGTGTGTGTGTGTGATCTATTAATAAAATGTTTTTCAAATACACAGAGAAAGCAAAGAAAATAGAATGCAGGTAACTTTATAAAGACGGTTCCTGTTTTTATACATTAGACGTTTTTTTCCTCACCAGTTTTGAGATGGCCGAGGAACGTTCCCACAACGCTCCCTGAACTCCAGTAGAATCTAATCATTAGCTGTCTGTCACAGTGTGTCGGCGGCTTACCCCTGAAGACGGCTAGTTGGTCTATTTCCCATTCGCTTTGATAAATGTTTTCCCTGCTCCCTGCCCTGCGGTCAGGCTTTTCTAACTGTGGGAGACCAAGAGATTTTACTGAGATAACTATATTTCTCTCTCCGAAGGCTGTGTGAATGTGAAACTCTGTTGTTCGTCTATAGACTTACGAACTAGTCCAATGTTCTACTAACCTAGTGAGCATGTGGAGTGGTTTATTTATTTATTTCTCTCCAATTTCGTGATTACGATCTTGTCTTATCGCTACAACTCCCCAACGGGCTCGGGAAAGGCGAAGGTCGAGTCATGCGTCCTCCGAAACATGACCCGCCAAACCGCGCTTCTTAACACCCGCTTGCTTAACCCGGAAGCCAGCCGCACCAATGTGTCGGAGGAAACACTGTTCAACTGATGACTGAGGTCAGCCTGCAGACGCCCGGCCCGCCACAAGGAGTCGCTAGAGGGCGATGAGCCAAGTAAAGCCCTCACGGCCAAACCCTCCCCTAACCCGGACGACGCTGGGCCAATTGTGTGCCACCCTATGGGACTCCCAGTCACGGCCGGTAATGACACAGCCTGGGATCGAACCCCAGCTGTAGTGACGCCGCAACACTGCGACGCAGTACCTTAGACAGCTGCGCCACTCGGGAGGCCCTATGTGGAGTGTTTTTGTTTCAAACACGGTTTCCAAAGGCTTGAACAGGAATACTTATTTTCCATAGTCAAATTGAAAGTCTGTCCCTCTCAAATTAATTTAGGATGGTTTATCTCGAAATTCACTATCTGTGTGTGTGTGTGTGTACTCTGATGTTCCACTGTGAGTGGCCTCAATGCTGTGTGTTTATGTGTCGTGGCACATCTCTAATGTTTACTGATGTTTTACTATGCTAGAGTCCATCCTAGTTTCATTAGGCTGTTTCACCAGTATCTGTTTCTCTTTGTTCCTGTTCCCTATCCTCCCATTCTCCTTCTCCGTATGTTTGCCATCGTTTACCTCCACCCACTAATACACACACACACACTTCTCTCTCATCTTTGTGTGTCGTTGTCCCCATTTGGTCTCTCTCATAACCGTCTACTGGCCTTGTTTTTATATATTTTCACGTCATTTTCTCAGACACACACACAGACACACACACACACACGCATGCACACACACAGACACACACACTCCCTCCTGCCTGCTCTACTTCTCTGATTCCTGTTGTTAATATCTCAGGGGCGTATGTGCACTGTGACTGAGAGAGAAAATACATCCCATGTAGCTGTAATCTAGTGCTCTGATTCCAGGCTTGTATATCTGTGGCTAGAGCAAGGTGAACGGAGGAGGAGGGGGAAGTGATGGAGAGATGCAGCAGAGGAATATAGATAAGACTGACAGAGATAGAAAGAGGGAGAAGGTTGATTAAATTACAGAGGAGAGAACATCTTAGAAAAGGGTGTAAAAACAGAGGTATTCAACATGCCATGGTTTGTATGACAGATGCACAGAGAGATACAGGGAGAGAAAGGGAGACATTCAGAGAGAGAGAGAGAGAGAGAGAGAGAGAGCGAGAGAGAGAGAGGGCGAGAGAGAGACAGGTTGCTTATGCACACTGTCACACACTAATATCCACCCCCTAAACCAGCCCAATCCCATGTTGCATGTGGAGACACTGCCACACGAGGGGTATGTTGCCCTACTAGCTGTGTGTCTGGATGGCTTACGGTAATGCTGGCCAGGGACACACAGTGAGAGAGGACTGTCGCTTTCCCAGCTTACGGCTGCAGCTTGACTCTCTCTCTCTTTCGTTCTCTCTGTCTCGTTTTCTCTCTCTCTCTTTCTCTCTCTCTCTCTCTCTCTCTCACCCATGGAGCAGGTCCAACTCTCAGAGAGACACTCTTAAAGGGACAGGCCACTGCTGCATCTCCCTCCTGCAGCCTCAGACACAGACACAAGGGAGAGGAGGAGGAGAGTGAGGAGATGGATTGAGAGAGGAGAGAGAGAGAGATAGTGAAAGAGAGATAGAGGACATAGAGAGAGAGAGAGAGAGAGAGAGAGAGAGAGAGAGAGAGAGAGAGAGAGAGAGAGAGAGAGAGAGAGAGAGATGGGTATCTCATGGGGAGAGAGGATAGAGTCCTTGCTGCTGGTCAACAGCCATTTATAGCTGCTGTTTTTTGTTGATAAGGATTACAATGAATAACAGTAATAGTATTTATTGGCTTTGAATGTATATCTGAAGCCCACAGTGCCTCACATTGTACAAGACAATACACCTTAAGATGCAGGGAGGGTTGGACTTGGCATTGGATGCTGACAGGTGCAGCTTTTCCTCAGTACAGGTTTCTTGGCGCATTACAATGCATTTTCCAGCGACACTGTGGTAATGTCTGCCAGCCAAACAGTGGGAGGAGTCTGTATGAAGGAGGAGTCTGTGAGTGAGGACGGGTATAGGTGAGGGAAAGTACTGTATGTGTGTGTGTGTGTTAGGTGTGTGTGTGTTAGGTGTGTGTGTCTCCATTAACTCTTGTGCGCCCAGCTGGGTTGGCTCTGTGTTATTGGCCAGCTGTGTGGTGGCTCCTCCTGGTTATTTTGATTGGCTGTGATTGGTGCCCTGACAGTCTGCCCTCAGGCTCCAGCTTTATGATGTTCTAATGGTGCTTCTCTGGCTGAAGGGTGCACTCATCACACACACACACACACACACACATACTCCTCCCTCCAGTGTAATATCAACATCGGGCTAGCAAACATGACTCCAACATACATTCAACATTCCCAACCTATAACTCTTATATTGCCGCTGTTTCATTCAAAGGTCTCCGTTGCCACACATGGAGTGCTGTGCAGAATGTTTACATTAGTCTCTTAAACAACGCTGTGCAATATTTGAGTAGTGTTTAAACAACGTGTTTCCCTGCTGATAGTGTTTGAATGTGATCTCAGAGGAAGAGTAGAAAGAGAGAGCGGAGAGAGAGAGGGCAGTGGAGGGAGTGAGAGAGAGAGAGGAACAGAAAGAGTAGAGAGGAAGAGGGAGAGAGAGAGAGCAAGAATAGTGAGAGAGAGGAGGTAAGAAGAGAGAGAGATAAGAAGAGACTACTCAGAAGAGAGATACAAGATAGTAGGCAGAGAGAGAGGGATGAGCAGAGACGAGAGAGATAGCTGCGTAGAGAGAGATGCAGTGAGAGATAGGGAGATATGAGATAGAAACAGAGAAGAGAGAGCAGATGAGAGAGATAGATGAGCGCAGAGATAGATAGCATTATATCCAGAAGACTATAGAGATAGGTACAATACAGAAGGAGGGGAGAGTCGAGGAGAGAGAGACGAGGTGAGAGAACGAGATAGGAGAGAATTGGTAGTGGAAAGATAGCAGAAAGGCAGATATAGAGTATATCAGATACTAGTGACGAGAGAGAGCGCAAGCAATATAATCTCTCTTATATATCGAAAGATCATTTATCTATATATTCTCTGAAATTTCAAGTTATATGGAGGGTTCGAGAGAAACATGAAAGATTCTATATCCCAGAGATAGAAGTTTGAGAGAAAAGATCGAGAAGAGGATCGATAAGTGAATTTTAGAGAGAAGCCAGTGAAGAGAGAGAGTCAGAGAGAGAAAGGCAAAGAGAGACACAAAGTGAGAACCGGGGTGAGGGAGGGGGCAAACCAGGAGGATGACTTCAGTCTACGGTAAACAAAAGAAAGACAAAAAGCCATAAGTCATTCCCTGACCAAACACACTTTCCCGTTACAATGTACTCCAGATGTCTCCAGATGTTTTCAAATAAAAATATTGGGCGAAGTGCAAATATTTGTTCTTAGTTGAAACTTGGCATAGTCATATACAGTGTGTGTGTGCTGTGTTTTTGTGTGTGTTTTTTTTGTTTTTGTTTTAGTATCCTTCAAAAGGATAGTAAAACATGGACAATTTGGGGGACATTTTGCCGGTCCCCACAATGAAAAGGCTATTTTAGGCTTAGGGTTTAGGGTTAGAAGTTAAGGTTAGATTAGGGGTTTGGGGTTAAGGTTAGGATCAAGTTTAAGGTTAGGGTTAGGTTAATGGTTAGGGTTAGGGTTATGGGTTAGGGAAATAGGATTTTGAATGGGAATCAATTGTTTGGTCCCCACAAGGATAGTAAAAGAAACGTGTGTGTGTGTGTGTGCATGCGTGCGTGTGTATGTATTTTTTGTGCATTTAATATGCATGTGTGTCTTATTTATGTGGGTGGTTTGTAGACTGGGATACTCGCACTGTCTTTTTCTCCCTCTTTCTTCCTTTGTTGTGCTGAACTGTGAACTCCAGCTGGTTCTCATTGCAGGAAGGCGTTGGATGAGACTTGGGCCTGAGTCTGTGTCTGTGTCTTTGTGTCAGTCTGTCTGTACTCAGCCTTGGAGATGCATGTTTTGTAAAGCTACAGTGGTCTAGGCCTATGAGAAGTTAGACAGTAAATATCAGAGGTTTGGGTGTAAAGGGGGATGAAGTGTTGTCAAAGTTTCCTTCACTGCCCTCTGGCTGTAGTTTGGTCTGGCAGTGCCAGTGTGCCAACCTCTGAATGCTGGGTCTGTGCTGACTGGGGTGAGTGGCAGGGCGCTGGGTGCAGGGGGTTGACACCCTGGCAGAGAGAAGCAAGCAGCAACACTGTGACCTCAATCAGATGAGATTGAGATTTCAAAGTCCTCTCCCTCCCTCTGCCCCGTCTTCATCTTTTCTTCCTCTTCTATTCTCCTCTCCTTTTCTGACACTTTCCCTCAAACTCTCTCATTATCCCTCCTTCTCTTTTACCCTCTCTGTTATCTCTCTCTTCTCTGTTACCCTCTCTCCCTCTATCTATTTCTCTCTATACTTCTCCTTCTCCCCTCTGTGGCCTCCTTGGCAGGAGCTCAGCCGTTAGATCACATGACCTCATAGCAAGTCGATTAGATCAGCCCTGAAACTGGAGCACAACACCCAGAGCCCTGGACCCTCCCTGAACTGCCTCCCCCAGCCCTGGCCTCTCCCTGAACTGCCTCCCCCAGCCCTGGCCTTTCCCTGGACTGCCTCCCCCAGCCCTGGCCTTTCCCTGGACTGCCTCCCCCTGGCCCCTCCCTGAGCTGGGCTGGTCCCCCATGTCCCCGGGGCCTGTGGCAGGGCGCTAAGCCCACTCCCCTGCTCCTCCACTGGGGGGCTATCTGACACCAGCCGCGCCTCGCCCCCCTGCACCTGCTCCAGTGGGGGGGCGCCGGCCAGGTACCACGGTGCCGGCATGCTGCCCAGAAACACCCCTCCATCCTGCCAGCGATGAGTAAAGCCACTTTGAACGCACCACGTAAACAGATCCCAATGTGCGTGTACACACACCCAACCTTACACACACTTTCACTTCCGCCGTGCCATGCCTCACACATGCTACCCATCCCGTAAGGTGACAGAGCTCTGTGTGTGTGTGTGTGTGTGTGTGTGTGTGTGTGTGTGTGTGTGTGTGTGTGTGTGTGTGTGTGTGTGTGTGTGTGTGTCACAGACTTATCTAATAACAGTGTATTTGACTCAGTATATAAACCTTGGCCTGTGTGTTTAAGGGGGGAGAACAGTTCTACAGGGCTGACAGATTGCTTTGGAAGAGCTTTATCTAGATCAGCTGATTAAACTTTCTGATCAAACTTATGGGAACACTTCAACACACCAACTAGACAAATACTTAGTGAAAGCCAGGAGAAATGAATGCAGAATCTTGGGGCGAGACCGCAGAGATTCCCAAGATGGTAAGATAATTTGAGAGGATGTCTGTTCCGCTTTAAACGGGCTGTGTGAGATTCTGAGATGTTTCTCTTTTTGTGGTTCAGTTTTCATACGAGAAACTCCCACAAAAAAGACTCATTAGCATTTTTAAACAGGAATTGTTTTGATAGTGTCATGTTTCATTATGAAGACGTTGAAATTACCAATGCAAAACAGGAATTCCGGCTGAATGACCTAATTAAGTGTGTGTGTGTGTGTGTGTGTGTGTGTGTGTGTGTGTGTGTGTGTGTGTGTGTGTGTGTGTGTGTGTGTGTGTGTGTGTGTGTGTGTGTGTGTGTGTGTGTGTGTGTGTGTGTGTGTGTGTGTGTGTGTGTGTGTGTGTGTGTGTTTACATCCAGCAATAATTCCGATGTTCAAAGCCCACAGGATGAAAGGACCGTCTGGGCTTTGTGGGCTAATCTACCTGTAAGCCTTTTTTTCTCTAAACATTGATGGAAATGTGATTAAACAAATCTAATAGATAGAGCTCTGTATAGATATTTAATGATGATAATATGGATTAAATTACTAGGTTGTGAAGGATAGGTGTGTGAAAACGCTACTCTCATTCATTTATCTCTGTTAAAGTGTTGTCTACAGTGGCCCATAGTGGCATACACTTTATTTCTTTAAAAAAGGGTTTGCCCCTCTGGGCCACCATAGTTGTCTTTCTCGCTTTCAGAGCAGAGGTGTCATTTCTTGTCATTGTCGTTTCACCTCTATGACAACACCCTCCCGCCCCTTCGCTGTCACGAGCGCACCCTTAACACATACTGACCTCGCCCCCCTGTGTGTCTCTGTCTCCATAGCAACAAGGAGCCCCAGACCCCGGAGATGAATAAGCTGCGTCAGAGCCTGCGCAGGAAGAAGCCCACATACGTGCCGGAGGCCAGTAGACCCCACCAGTGGCAGGCAGACGAGGAGGCCGTACGCAAGGGCAAATGCAACTTCCCCGTCAGGGTAAGACTGAGACCCCTGTCCTGGGACCTGGTCTTAAACTGACTCTTAACTAAACTTCAACCTAACTCTTATCACTCTTAATCTTTTGGTTCAAAATGTTGAGGTATAAGATTAAATTGGCATACTATCTGGGACAACAGGGAAGGAAGTTATATTTCGTCTTACAAAAATCACACCTAACTCTAGCCTTAGATCTAACTTAGTTCTGACTTTTACTCTTATCCTAACTCTTATCCTAAGTCCCATGGCAGTGTGATCAGTGGAACAGAACAGAACCTGACTGTAATGATTATCCTAGTTCTAGTGATGAGACTTGGCTGTCTCTAAGTCTTTCTGGAGGCCCAGGGAATGGGGAGAGGTCAATTCTACCTCCTCCCTGGTGAAACTGCTGCGTGATTCTCTTCCTCTCCTTTGTCTGAGGGATTTGCCTTTTTCTCCCCTATTAAGGATTATACGACAGCGCTGAGTAATCCAACTCTGGTTCCCCAAAATCTCAGCTGCTGGCTGATCCCGCCCTGGCATACATTCAGAATGGGATGTAAATGTAAAACATTTTAAAAAACAAGACTCGACAGAAGAAAGTTCATTTGTAGTTCTAAACATATTTAGGGTACTCACTTTTTGTCTCTCCCATGACGTTATTCCTCTCTCCTACAGCATCCATCACAATTACATGCGCATGGCAAATTATGCAAATTAGGTGATGACGTCATTTAGCGATTTCTAGCGACTTTTAGGACAGCCAATAGCTACTTTCCTTACTGAGGAGTTGGCAACACTGCCCACTAAACATCCAGCGCTACAGCACACCATAATTTCTAGCTATCTAGTTACTTGGCTAGCTAGCACAAAATGACAAGTTCGTATTTCTTGATACAACCAAAAAAACGAAAAAGTTGTATAGATATATTGACTTGTTGCTACCAGAGCCACTAAACAAAATCATCAGACAACGTTTATTTATTACCGTTTGCTCTGGTGGTGTTGCATTTGGCTAGCATGGCAAATAACCACAGAGCTAGCATAGATAGATAGATGAATTTCTCTCATGACAGCCAACAATATAACTAAACTAAATGTAACTAGCATAGGAGTCCAATGTTTGACGGCCACATTGTTTAAATCAAAAGTTAGCTAGCAGCAATCATTGACCCACAATCAAGCCCTCTCTCCCCCCTCACCAATCTGTCTCTCCTAGCTCTTCATCTGCTTCCTTTAAAACAAAACGATATTTTACCCAAGTGTATTGCCCACTTAGTTTCAATTAAGAAACATACTGTAGTTTTAATGAACCGCTAGGTTGTGTTAGGCATGTATTATCGACCTCGTGTTATGAGACGTAGCTAGTGGTTTGTAGTAAAGCTAGCTGCTAGACTATAATAAAAATGCTAGCGGTGACACTTTGTGGTGATAATGTTGAACTGCATATAATTACACCAGGATGATACATAATTAAATAAAATTTACCTTAAAATATTCCTTCTGCACACCCTTATGATAGTGATATTTGCTAATAATGTCTCTCTCCTGTCTATATCATCCTTAAGGCCTACCTTCATTACAGCCCTGACATTCTGAGTATTATTTGTATTAGACACTATTCAATCATCTCTTGTTTTGGAGTAAGATCGTTGTCTAAACCCACTAACTATTTACATAGGTGTTCTTTGTATGACTTTATTTCATATCATACAAAGAAGAAAGTTAAATGAATATTGTCTAATACAAATAATATGCAGAATGTCAGGGCTGGGCTGGAACAGATCTCAAGGAGCGAGGTTGGCCATGCATGTTCTAGGTCTATGCATTGGTACTTTTAACAGTATTTTTGTAGTCCTACAACCAATTCTAACAGTAAACCAATAGTATATATAGCCCATTGGAGATATACCCTTCAGTCTCTCCAGGACCTGGGACTTTCTTTGGGACCTTCATTCGCAGACAGGGTTTAGCAGATTTCACAGGTCTCTGTATCTGAGGTTAGGAAACATAGAAATTAGATCAGGACTTGTTTCATTATTCTCAAGTGATATAACATTTGATATTTCGTTGCAATTGTGTTTTTGTATTGTCATAGTTCTCTCTTTGGGACTGAAAATCTGTTCATTAGCTAACAAGCTTAGCTACTAGCTAGGTAGCTAACGTTGTTTTTAGCAGATCACGCTAACGTTTGTGTCATAAAAATGTATATATTGGATGTCTATCCTATTTACATGTAGCTCGCTATCTAGCTAGCTAGCTGAAGTTACCTGGAATAGATGGTTAACTTGATAAACAACTTGCCTGTGTGCTACACATCATCCCGGCGCCGCCACCACCTCCTGCTGCTAGCGTTACTATCCATGCAGGCAATGCAGCCTGCTGCGATGCTTCCTCGGGAAATCTATAAACATTAATTTAATGTTAAGATTAAACCCCGGTCGTCAGGACCATCCCACCTGCAAATACTATGGTCAAAATGCTAATTTTAAACTTGAGAAAACAACTAGACCAGGGGTCGCCAACCTTTTTCTAGCATGAGAGATACTTAAAAAAAATTAAACATGTTGCGAGCTACTCATATTTTTATAGCTTTCAAATAGGCACATTCTTCTCTTCTACTCTACCCTGCAACTCATCCCCGGGTCCTTGGTGTACAAGAGATGTCATTATAGCTGGTAAAATAATGGTTAATAAACTGTATCTGGCATGACAAGCCCCATAAAATTGGTTTATTTTTCCTGGTTTAGAATTTATTTCTTATAGTTTTTTACTCTCAATAGTACAATTATTCATAGAGAAACAATGAAAATGGATCTTCTGAGTCCATGTCAATGCTTAAATCACATCAGAAGACAATTATTGAAGTAAAAAAATATTGGATTTTTCAGTGTAATTCCCCTTTAATTGTGTATCTAGCAAGAGAGGAATGAGTCGGCACAGAGTTTCTAAACCCAGAGGCGCAACATCGCAAGGCTTACGGGAACGCTTGCGAAATAGATCAAACAGACCAAGCCAAGGTTTGGGGTTTGAGAAGTAAATGAGAGAAGTGAAAAAATCTTCCTGCTACTGTAGGCTGAACGATAGAACAGCTATTTCAATGTTCAAATGTTATTGGATGCATTTTCTCCATTGTTTTTTATGGTAGGCCACTCTGTTAGGCCTACATTATGATCAAATAGCCACAGAAGCCTACTTGACCACTGTTAAAACAAACTTAAAGCGGGTACAGTGTTCACAGTAAATGCCGGAAGTTGCACAAAATCTTTACAATGTTCGAGTTTGCGCTCAGCAGACCTGAAATGTGCTCAGTGATGAAAATATTTTGAGGGAACATTGCCTCTCTCTCTCTCTCTCTCTCTCTCTCTCACTCTTTCTCTCTCTCCCCCTCTCTCTCTAGCTCTCTCATTTTCTCTGTCCACAATCACTCAGCCACACATAACTCTAAATGGGCTAAATAAAGTGACTCATGCTTTCAAAAGGCCTCTGTGGAAAGATAGTATACAATCTACTGTATTTGAGGCACCTTTTCGGTATGTTTTTCACTCTGCTGGCTTGGCTCAGAGGAATGGGTTTGTATTTTACAAAAAAAGCTCTGGCAACCTAATTGTCTCTCCAAGGGCCTCCGACGCGCCACAGGGAATTCTGTGGGACTAGAAATCTAATCCCGTAAAAGGTCTCAATCCTCCCTAATTCATCCTCATTATTAGCAGCTAACACAGTCTGGCGGCTCACTTTGGAATGGAATGACTTACACTATTAAGTGATAATGTGAATGCAGATGATATTAACTAAATTGCATAGGGTACTTGGGCATATTTGTGTGTTCATGCAGTTTGTATAAATCTTCAAAATAGCCTTTGCATCTCCCTCTGAGTTTTAATGCGTCTCTCATTCTCTCTCTCTTTCTGTCGTTGTTTCTGTCTCTCCATCTCTCTCTCGTTGTTTCTCTCTCTCTTTATCTCTCTCTCTCGCTCTCTCTCTCTCTCCATCTCTATATGTAGTACCTGGGTCTGGTGGAGGTGGAGGAATCCAGAGGGATGCATGTGTGTGAGGAGGCTGTGAAAAAGCTCAAAATTGTAAGTATCCCTCCACTCTAACCCCCTGCTACGCTCAATCACACACACACGCATGCACACACATACACACACACGCACCGATACCACTGCAGTCTCTTGCTCCCTCTCTTGAGATTTTCTCTTGCTTTTTTCATTTCACCTGTTTCGATTTTTTCCTTCAAATTCCCCCTGTTCCCTTACTCGCCTTATCTCCAGATCCATATCTCCTCTTCGGCCCTCTACCTACCTCTATTTTGTCTTTAAACTCAGCCCAATCCCACCCCAAGCATCTGCAGTAAATTCCTAATCTAAGCCCTTTGCTCCTCCTGGCGGGGCTGAGCCCTCCTTAGACTCAGTAATGAACTCAGCTACTCAGACCTGACCATCACCGTACCACAGCTTTAGAACAGCCGCCCGCCGCTCGGCCCCCTGGGAAGGTAGGCTCGCCCAGGCCGTGCGAACAGTGTGACACAGAACAGGCTGGGTCACACAAGCACAAGCTGATGCCCGGGCCAGTGCTGCTGAGAAGGCTGGTATACTAGACAGGGTCTTGGGGATAGGGTGGCATGCAGTCAGAGTGGGGTCAGGAAGGAGGGGACAACCCCCTGTCAGCTCCCAGGCTCTCCTGCCCTTGGGGCTCTGTCTGTGGGGAAGGAATTGGGAGAGCAGGCCTAGACCCATGGAGAAGCCTGGAGACGGCTCCAGTGTTTCACTGTCTTGTTTGTTTTCCCAGCCTGACCCTTTTTCCCCCATCGTCTTCCATGGGCTTTGTCCACTGCTCAGCAGGGTAGTTGTGTGTGTGTGTGTGTGTGTGTGTGTGTGTGTGTGTGTGTGTGTGTGTGTGTGTGTGTGTGTGTGTGTGTGTGTGTGTGTGTGCATTCTAGCGTGTGTATCTCTTCTATCCTTTAGCCTTTTTCCCTTCATCAGCAGGTCTGCTGCACCCCTGTCGTCTCCTTTGTCACTTTTTTTTACCTATTCATACACTTAGTCCCCTCTCTCTCTTTCTCTCCCTTTCTTTCTCTCTCTCTCTCTTCTTATCTCTCTCTCTATCTCGGCTCTCTTCTCTCTACTATCTCTGCTCGCTCTCGCTCTCTTCTCTCTCTCTCTCTCCTCTCTCTCTCTCCTCTCTCTTCATTCTGCAGTATAGTGATTGGATTTAATGTCAGTCCTTTGGCTGGTAGTCAGGGAGCAACTCTTAGCTTCTCTCAGAGGCTCTCCTCCTCTTCCTCTCCCGCTACCTTCTCTCCATCGCTTTACCTTATTTTTCACACGATTCCCTATCTTTTGCATCCTCCTACTCCTCTCCTCTGGTTCATCTCTCTCCCTGCCTCAACTCTCTTCCTTCCCCTCTCCTTTACTCCCTTCGCTCTTTCTCTTTGGGATTATGCAAAATACTGACGCTTTATCGGTTTGCCACGCTTTTCAAAGTCATTTCCTGCAGCGCTCTCAGTCTCCCTCGTCTCTCTCTCTCTCTCTCTCTCTCTCTCTCTCACACACACACACACACACACACACACACACACATCTCAGCCCCTCAGTAGGAGTGCAGGAGTGCTGCTCTCCCAGCTACCCTCTTATTATGATGGTATTTTTAGCCTGGCCTTGTTCTGGTGCTGGTGCCCCCTGCTGAATAGATAGAGAGGCTTGTGGAGAGAGACAGCCAGCTGGCTCCCCTCTGTAGGATACCCGCCTCTATTTCTCTTTATCTACTGCCTGCTACAGAGAAACAGAAGAACTGGGACATATATTCCACTATTGCCACTTGAGGACAATGAAAACCCTTAGATCTACTATACAGCCATATGTTTTAGGCCTCTGGTGATCTGACTGCACCAGCCCTGCAGCATCAGTCAGATAAGTTCACAACTGCCCTGTGGTGTGGTGTGAGTGTGTTGGATGAGAGAGGAAACACCTTGGTGCTGCTACTGCCCCTAGTGTTGCAGCAGGGCTCAGTCCTAGCCCCAAGACCAGGCACCACTGATAATAGACGTGCCTCAGTGTGAGGACACTCTCTCTCTCTCTCTCTCTCTCTCTCTCTCTCTCTCTCTCTCTCTCGTCTCGCTCTCGCTCTCTATCTCTCTCATCTCTCTCTATCCTCTCTCTCTCTCTCTCTCTCTCTCTCTCGCTCTCTCTCTCTCTCTCTCTATCTCTCTCTCTCTCTCTTCTCTGTCTCTCTGTCTCTGTCTCTGTCTTGTCTCTGTCTCTGTCTCTGTCTCTGTCTCTGTCTCTGTCTCTCTCTCTCTCTCTCTCTCTCTCAATTCAATTCAAATTGCTTTATTGGCATGACGTAACAATGTACATATTACCAAAGCGTACTTTGGAAATTAAGTGATTAATTTACAATATTAACATGATTAAAATAATAATAATCAAGATTGTCAATGGGACAATCAGTGACAACAATAACAATAACAATGGCATAGAGGACATGTGCAGGTTGGTTGGTCTGTCAGACACTGTCCCTCATCTTATGGCAGGCAGCAATGTAGTGCGCTGCCAACCCACAGCTCTCTGCGTCCTCCCCCAACCGGACGGGTAGCCTATTTTCATCAGAGAGGTCTTTGAAACCTTGAATAAGGGTTTCAGATTTGGGGAAATTACACTCTAATTGTTTTGTACTGTATTTTGTACATTTTGTCAGGAAATGCAGCTCTTTCTCGAGTTCTGCTGTGGTGCAGTGGCTGCACAGCCTTTCCTCTATAGGGAGCCAGGTTTTCCTGTCTACCCTTCTCAATGGTAAGGCAGTGCTCACTGAGCCTGTACTTTGTCAAGGTTTTTCAATGGTTTTGATCAGTAACCATGGCCAAATAGTTTGCTATGGTGTACTATCGATTTAGGGTCAGATAGCACTGCATTTTGCTTTATGCTTGTGTTTCCCAATAGGTCATGTAGTTTTGTTTTGACTGTGTTATAATTTGGTTTATTCTGATTGATTGGATGTTCTGGTCCTGAGGCTTCAGTGTGTTAGTAGAACAGGTTTGTGAACTCAGCCCCAGGACCAGCTGGATGAGGGGACTCTTTTCTTTGCTCAGCTCTTGGCATTGCAGAGCTTGGTAATGATATGAGAGGAGGTCACTGTATTTAAGATGTTTCCAAAACTGAATTGCTATTTTTTGAGTTTTTATTATCAGTGGATATTGGCCTAATTCTGCCCTGCAATCATTGTTTGTAGTTTTCCTCTGGACATGTAGGGACCCCACACATTCAATTCGTTTTTTAATGGTGTAGAATGCCCTGTGTGCTTTCTCTCTCAGATCATTCACTGCCTCATTTAGGTGTCCAGTTGAGCTTATTTTGAAACCTAAGTAATTGTGTGCAGTACTCTGTATTTTGTACCAATTGAAAACTTTGGTCTAATTCCCTGAGATCTGGATATTCTCTGAAAAATCATTATTTGTGTATTTTTGGAGTTTACTGCCAGGACCCAGGTCTGGCAGTATTGCTCTAGCAGGTCCAGGCTCTGTGTGCTGTAGGTGACAGCAGCCACAGGTCATCTGCGAAGAGCAGGCATTTAACCTCTGAATTGTGGAGACTTAGACCAGGGGCTGAGGATTTTTTCTAGAGGATTAGGTGGCCCAATTCTTTGATGTAAATATTGAAGAACGCGAGGCTGATATTGCAACCCTGTCGAAGGCCTCGCCCCTGGTTAAGGAATTCTCGTATTTTCTTGCTAATTTTGATACTACACGTATTGCCAGTCAGGTTTAATTATGTAATATGTTTTACCCCCTACACCACTTTCATTAACTTTGTATAACAGTCCTATATGCCAAAACTATAATCCAAAATGCTTTTTGGGGAAGTCATAAAGGCAAGGCATACATTTATTTTATTTTTTTGGGGGGGGGGACATGTTTATTTATCAAGGTGTTGTTGTAGGGTTGGAAATATGATCAGTTCGTGCGCTGTTTTGGTTATAAACATCTCTAATTTAGGACTTTTACCGAAAGACAAGGGGGCGGGAGGAAGGAAGCGGGAGAAAGGAAAGGGAGAAGAAGGAGAGAGGAGCGAGAGAGAGAAAGAGAGAGAGAGAGAGAGTAGAGAGAAAGAGAGAGAGAGAGAGAAGAGAAGAGAGGAAAGGAGAAGAGAGAGAGAGCTAGCGAGAGAATAATCAGGGAGCGGAAGCGGCGATAAAGAGAGCGGAGAGAGAGAGAGAGAGAGATCGTCTACCTATCTCTCTTCCTCCTCTCTCGCTCTCTCTCTCTTTTCTCTCTTATCTCTCTCGGGTCTACTCTCTCTCTCTCTCTCTCTCTCTCTTCTCTCTCTCTCTCTCTCTCCACAGAGTGGCAAGAAGACAGTGAAAGCAGTACTGTGGGTGTCGGCAGACGGTCTCAGAGTGGTGGATGACAAAACCAAGGTAAGAGTGTGCCTGCAGGGCTGTTAGCATAAACGTCTGTGCTAATCATACATACAAACATACACAGTCTGCTTCCAGATGTAAACAGTGGCTAAATATGAAACAGCAGCCTGGGACCATAGATACCCCTGCTGGTGTGACAGAGCAAGTGTACAGATGTAGGATCTTAATTTGATCACTCTGATGCAGGATAACTTTCCTGCAGTGCATGGCATTTAAAACAAATAGTGTATTTGAGGTTTAAAAAGGCTTCTGAAGTTTTGTAATTTCCACATGGAAATTTCAGACTTGATTTTCCCTTATGAAAAATGTATCAACCCCTACAAACATTTCCATTAATTATAATCCACATAATAATTCCAATTTCCTGTTGCTGCAGGATAATTTTTCTGCCTTAGTAAATTATCTCAAATTAAGATCGTACATCTGTAGTAGGAAAAGTTTGTTGGAAAGACAAAGAGAGAAAACTGCTCAGCAGGCGAGAAGCTGGCAGTCACCCAGGAGCCTGAGCACTCCCCCTCTACCCTCCCCCTACTCCCCCTTTTGTCTTTTACTCTCCCCCCTCTACCCTCCACCTTCTCCCCCCTTCGGCTGCTACTCTCCCCGCTCTCCTTACCCACCCTGCAGGTCTCTCTCTACCCCAGCCCTTTCCCAGGTCACCTGCCATTCTCAGTCTGGGCTGAGATTGATGATGTCACCCTTCAGGCTCAGAGCACAAGGACCGCACCGCGTGCCTGTCTCGAAGACTGTGTTTATCCTCACAGGCCAGATTGAGTTTACTTTAGACTGGACTGCTGAGTTTTCACACTTTACATGTGTTACTGATGGATGCCAAAGGGGGCTTTGGGTAGGGGAGGGAGACACAGTACACACACACACATAGCATTTTATTTTCATTTGACACACACACACACAGAAACACACACACACACACCTCAGGACAGGACGCAAGGTGCCCCCTATTGCCAAATAAAATAAGTAGACAAATGGACCCTATCCCCCCTCAGCATCCCTCCACTTCCCCTCTTTCTTGTAATCCCTTCTCTCCCTCACTCAGTCAGCACAGTCTCCTAAACCTGACCTCACCCTCCCCTCCCTCCCTCTCCTGGTCCTCTCCTGGTCAGCGTCAAAGAACACCCCCGCCACAGAAAAAGAAAGCCCCCTTTCCTTCCGCCTCCATATCTGACCCATGTGACATGACTCAGCACTGTGCCCCCTTTCAGTTTTTCAGTGACATGCCTCTGAGTGATCCTCCATCCCCCACAACCCCCCACACACCCCTCGTTATCCCCCACCCCTCGTTATCCCCCTCACCACCACCCACCCCTAGGCAACCCAGCCCAGCCCAGCGCGCACGCACACACACACACACACACACACACACACACACACACACACACACACACACACACACACACACACAGACACAGACACAGACACACACACAGACACATTTACAGACGTTCACTTCCACCACCAGCCTCTCTTCATCTACTAATTGTCTCTGAATGAAAAGACTGTTATTTATTCCTTGCCCGCTTCATTCATCCCCTTCCTATTCCCAGAAAGAAGAGTGGAAGGAAGTGTCTGGATGAGTTTGTGAGCCCCATTTTCCTTTCTTCCCTCTCAGCTCTTTCTTCCCTCTCATTCCACTCTGACTCAAAGGGTGTTGAGGGCCCGGGGGCCACTAGTGGCATCGGGCGGGGGGGTAAGAGAGGGGGCCCCTTCCTTACCCTATAGTTCCCTATAGTCACCAGCCGAGACTCCTGAACGAGCTTGATACAGATTCTGGATCGAGAGAATAACAAAGTGGTTGTCCGTAAACAAGATCTAGTGCTTGAGAGTAACAAAGGTTGATTCTCGGTAGATTACAATTCCTCACCAAATAATTACATTTTATATTTTAGTGTGTGTGTTTTAATCATATGCATTCTCTATAGGATACTATGTTATGTGTGATATGTTTAATTTATGATGTGGTCACATCAGCCTTCTCTAAAATGTAATCTCTTTTTCTTTAGGACCTCATCGTAGACCAGACCATTGAGAAGGTGTCCTTCTGCGCGCCCGACCGCAATTATGACAAGGCCTTCTCCTACATCTGCCGTGACGGCACCACACGCCGCTGGATCTGCCACTGCTTCATGGCCCTGAAGGACTCGGTGAGGGTGTGTGTGTGTGTGTGTGTGTGTGTGAGTGGGCCCAGGCCCAGCGACTAGATTAATCCAATCCCCGCATCGCTCGCCCAGGGATTAAGATAAGGATTACGCTAGGGTTATCTCAATTGTTTCTTGGAGCGCTATCCACTGTGACCTCCTGGCACTCGGAGCCACGTTTGCCCCAGGGTGATAACCATTTTTATAGCATGTCAATGGAATGAAAACAGAGTGCCAAGTCATTCCTCACAGACATGGTTTTGGTTTGATAAAGCATTTTCCAGTAGGGACATTGACTGGCTTTAGGCTATATTCAGGCTTGTCAATTGTGTATTTTTCAGTATTAGTGTCCATTCACACATAATAGAGTTTTACACACACGCAAACATACATGCGCCCACGTACACACACACATACCAAAAGGGTGTTGAGGAGGGTTGTTGACCGGGTGTGTTGCGGTCACCAGGGCGAGCGTATGAGCCACGCCGTGGGCTGTGCCTTCGCCGCCTGTCTGGAGAGGAAGCAGCGCCGCGAGAAGGAGTGCGGCGTCACAGCCTCGTTTGACGCCAGCCGCACCTCCTTCGTGCGCGAGGGCTCGTTCCGCGTGACGTCATCCAGCCAGCAGGAAGGGGGCGAGCGCGATGACATCATGAAGCAGCTGCAGGACAAGAAGAAAGGTATGACTCATCAGGAGAAGGAGAGCAGACACAGACACACAGACAGATACATCTATCACTCACATTCTAATGTATCACTGGAAAGTTACTGGAAAGTACAGTGGGGAAAAAAAGTATTTAGTCAGCCACCAATTGTGCAAGTTCTCCCACTTAAAAATATGAGAGAGGCCTGTAATTTTCATCATAGGTACACGTCAACTATGACAGACAAAATGAGAAAAAAAAATCCAGAAAATCACATTGTAGGATTTTTAATGAATTTATTTGCAAATTATGGTGGAAAATAAGTATTTGGTCAATAACAAAAGTTTCTCAATACTTTGTTATATACCCTTTGTTGGCAATGACACAGGTCAAACGTTTTCTGTAAGTCTTCACAAGGTTTTCACACACTGTTGCTGGTATTTTGGCCCATTCCTCCATGCAGATCTCCTCTAGAGCAGTGATGTTTTGGGGCTGTTGCTGGGCAACACGGACTTTCAACTCCCTCCAAAGATTTTCTATGGGGTTGAGATCTGGAGACTGGCTAGGCCACTCCAGGACCTTGAAATGCTTCTTACGAAGCCACTCCTTCGTTGCCCGGGCGGTGTGTTTGGGATCATTGCCATGCTGAAAGACCCAGCCACGTTTCATCTTCAATGCCCTTGCTGATGGAAGGAGGTTTTCACTCAAAATCTCACGATACATGGCCCCATTCATTCTTTCCTTTACACGGATCAGTCGTCCTGGTCCCTTTGCAGAAAAACAGCCCCAAAGCATGATGTTTCCACCCCCATGCTTCACAGTAGGTATGGTGTTCTTTGGATGCAACTCAGCATTCTTTGTCCTCCAAACACGACGAGTTGAGTTTTTACCAAAAGGTTATATTTTGGTTTCATCTGACCATATATTGGCTGACTAAATACTTTTTTTCCCCACTGTAAGTCAAATGTGGCCTATGTTATAGAGCTAACAGGAACAGGAGGATTCACTCACTGTTGATGGTTGTTGATATTCTCCTCAATCACTCGGAAGTGTAACAACACATCTACTGTATGTTGGCTAATAGGAACCTTTATCAGTGTTATTGGCTGTAGTGGTTACTGGTTGTAGTCCAACATTAACCCTGGTCATTGTAGTCCAACATTAACCCTGGTCATTGTAGTCCAACAATAACCCTGGACATTGTAGTCCAACATTAACCTTGGTCATTGTAGTCCAACATTAACCCTGGACATTATAGTCTAACATTAACCCTGGTCATTGTAGTCCAACATTAACCCTGGTCATTGTAGTCCAACATTAACCCTGGTCATTGTAGTCCAACATTAACCCTGGTCATAACCCTGGTCGTTGTAGTCCAACATTAACCATAGCCATTGTACTCTGTCTGTCTCCAGAGCCCCCGTGTACCATCCCAGCCATCCCCCCTGGCACCTCCTCACCCCCTGAGGGCGCGGCCTCGCCTGTGGGGCAGGGGGTGGAGCACGCCATCCCGCGGCGCCATGCGCCCATTGAGCAGCTGGTGCGACAGGGCTCCTTCCGGGGATTCCCGGCCCTCAGCGGGAAGAACTCGCCGTTCAAGAGGCAGCTCTCGCTGCGCCTCAACGACCTGCCTTCCAACCTGCAGCGCAAGACCGCTGACTTCCAGAGCAAGAACCCAGGTTAGCCTCACCTGTTTATGTTAGCTTAGCTAAGTCTCTGCATTCTACGACCTAGGACAAAGAGTGTTTAGCCTCACCAGTCTAGGACAACATAGTCCTGCAATACCACCCTTCCATGTTGTGTTCATCACTCGGAGGAAGCCTGGAAATCAAGGCTAATGTCAACCAGAGCCTGGAGTTTTCCTGCCTTTATGACCTGACCAAGGATAACTCAGGGCTTTTTCCTGGTCAGATCATGGGTAAGGAAAAACTGAAACCTTATGACAATGTATGGTGGTGTTTATAATTGTACCAAAGTAGTATTTGACCGGGAACAAGTGAAGCCAGAGATTGATTGATTGGGGTCATAATAGCAGTGAAGTTGATCATTAGTGTGTTATTAAGGCTGTTGTTGATTGCTGTGGCTGATTGCTGAGTCCATGTAATGGTTATTTTGAATAAGTATAATAATTAGGATTCCCAGCACGGCTTTGTTCCTGCTGTAGTGAGGTAGATTAAACCTCTCAGTTATGTTGATTATAGTTATTATGAGATGGGAGGCTGATGGTGGCAGACCTCAGCTTTTAATAATTAATAAACACACATTTCACCTCTGATGGTTGCAGCACAATTGTGCCTGACATTTATTTACATTCATGTATGTAGCAGTAGTAGCATAGTGTACAGAGATTCTCTCTTTCGTATAGGATCTGTCCCTATTTGAATCCCACGCATGCATAGAAGACACCCACACACGCACTTAGCTAGCAATAGAAGCCACACAAGCATGAACACACGCAAGCACAGGACACATGTACACACACCCACACACACAGTAGCAGCTAATTTCACTGCCTCCCAGTAGTCCCCCAGCTTTCTCAGTGAACAATGTGTCTATGATCCAGGGTTGTATCAGCAGTCTCCACTAGACCAGTCCCTCCATATCCCCTTAAAGCTGTCATGTCCACAGAGACAGCCCCCAGCCAGCTCCTCTCACGGCCATAGATCCATGGATTGTAGTAAACACACACACACACACACACACAATGATGCACACACTCACACACATGCACGCAGGCATACACACATACACACAGTACACTACTACACAGAGAAACCCCACAGCTGCTCCCGTCCTCTCTGAACCCTATAGTTCAATGAAATGTTCAGAAAGAGAGACCTTACAAGGCAGGCCTGTCATGAACAAAGCAGCAGGGCCTGGCTCTCTAGACAGAAAGACACTCCACATCTGCACCTGGAGTAGTTATTCTAAGCAGGGCCATATTCATTAGGCACCAAACAGAAGAAAACTAATTGAAACAGGGTGTGACTACATAAACTTGTCCAATATGAAATGCCCATTTTCGTTGCAAAAGGTTTTGCTACGGTGTGCCCTAATGAATAGGACCCGACAGAGAGACACTGCAGCAGCAGCTCCATAGGGATTACATCCACCACTGACCCCTCTGGTTCTGATTGGCCCCACAGCTCTCTCTGCTCTCCACAGGCTTTGCTTTCTCTCTGTCAGGGACAGGTCACTGATAGGGGAATTACACAAATTATTAGCTATTTTTATCTACTGGCTATAGGTTGAGAGGTTTTCCCTCTGTTTTCTACACTAAGGATTTAGCCTATAGAGAACAGACTGGTCAGGTGTGTTACAGAGGAACTTTTATTAAGTACAAACGATTATGTAGACCTTTATAAGTGTATGTTTGGCCCAAGACTTTAATCTTGCCATCAAATCATCAAAAGGAAAGCAAATCCTCAATCCTTCTCCCCCTCTTTAGTCCCAGAGATGGATCTGTCAGTGTGTGGAGAGGCAGATAGCAGCATCAACGCTCTGTGCAGCCAGATCAACTATTCCTTCACCAAGCCCTCTGAGGAACTCTTCTCCAACCCCACCCCCAATGGCCTGCCAGCCTGCACTGTGCCCCCAGCGATCCCCCCTCCAGCCGCCCCCCTGCAAGGTAACTCATTGACTATCATTCTCTCTCTATGAGCTCTAGTCTAGCTTAACATGTAGTTAACAGCTCAACTCCAACTTTGTATTTGTAATGTATTTGTAATGTGTTTTTATTTGTGTTAGTGTTTTTATTTTTTTATTTTTTTACCTTTATTTAACCAGGTAAGCCAGTTGAGAACAAGTTCTCATTTACAACTGCGACCTGGCCAAGATAAAGCAAAGCAGTGCGATAAAAACAACAACACAGAGTTACATATGGGGTAAAACAAAACATAAAGTCAAAAATACAACAGAAAATATATATACAGTGTGTGCAAATGTAGCAAGTTATGGAGGTAAGGCAATAAATAGGCCATAGTGCAAAATAATTACAATTAGTATTAACACTGGAATGATAGATGTGCAAGAGATGATGTGCTGCAAATAAGCAAAATAAATAACAATATGGGGATGAGGTAGTTGGGTGGGCTAATTTCAGATGGGCTGTGTACAGGTGCAGTGACCGGTAAGGTGCTCTGACAACTGATGCTTAAAGTTAGTGAGGGAGATAAGAGTCTCCAGCTTCAAAGGTTTTTGCAGTTCGTTCCAGTCATTGGCAGCAGAGAACTGGAAGGAATGGTGGCCAAAGGAGGTGTTGGCTTTGGGGATGACCAGTGAGATATACCTGCTGGAGCACATACTACGGGTGGGTGTTGCTATGGTGACCAATGAGCTAAAATACAGTGAGGGAAAAAAGTATTTGATCCCCTGCTGATTTTGTACGTTTGCCCACCGACAAAGACATGATCAGTCTATAATTTTAATGGTAGGTTTATTTGAACAGTGAGAGACAGAATAAAAAAATCCAGAAAAATGCATGCCAAAAGTTTTATAAATTTATTTGCATTTTAATGAGGGAAATAAGTATTTGACCCCTCTGCAAAACATGACTTAGTACTTGGTGGCAAAACCCTTGTTGGCAATAACAGAGGTCAGACGTTTCTTGTAGTTGGCCACCAGGTTTGCACACATCTCAGGAGGGATTTTGTCCCACTCCTCTTTGCAGATCTTCTCCAAGTCATTAAGGTTTCGAGCCTGACGTTTGGCAACTCGAACCTTCAGCTCCCTCCACAGATTTTCTATGGGATTAAGGTCTGGAGACTGGCTAGGCCACTCCAGGACCTTAATGTGCTTCTTCTTGAGCCACTCCTTTGTTGCCTTGGCCATGTGTTTTGGGTCATTGTCATGCTGGAACACCCATCCATGACCCATTTTCAATGCCCTGGCTGAGGGAAGGAGGTTCTCACCCAAGATTTGACGGTACATGGCGCCGTCCATCGTCCCTTTGATGCGGTGAAGTTGTCCTGTCCCCTTAGCAGAAAAACACCCCCAAAGCATAATGTTTCCACCTCCATGTTTGACGGTGGGGATGGTGTTCTTGGGGTCCTAGGCAGCATTCCTCCTCCTCCAAACACGGCGAGTTGAGTTGATGCCAAAGAGCTCCATTTTGGTTTCATCTGACCACAACACTTTCACCCAGTTCTCCTCTGAATCATTCAGATGTTCATTGGCAAACTTCAGACGGGCCTGTATATGTGCTTTCTTGAGCAGGGGGACCTTGCGGGCGCTGCAGAATTTCAGTCCTTCACGGCGTAGTGTGTTACCAATTGTTTTCTTGGTGACTATGGTCCCAGCTGCCTTGAGATCATTGACAAGATCCTCCTGTGTAGTTCTGAGCTGATTCTTCACCATTTACATTTACATTTTAGTCATTTAGCAGACGCTCTTATCCAGAGTGCATACATTATTTTTACATACTGGCCCCCCGTGGGAATCAAACCCACAACCCTGGCGTTGCAAACGCCATGCTCTACCAACTGAGCTACATCCCTGCCGGCCATTCCCTCCCCTACCCTGGACGACTTGTGCGCCGCCCCATGGGTCTCCCGGTCGCGGCCGGCTACAACAGAGCCTGGATTCGAACCAGGATCTCTAGTGGCACAGCTAGCACTGCGATGCAGTGCCTTAGACCACTGTGCCACCGTTCTCATGATCATTGCAACTCCACGAGGTGAGATCTTGCATGGAGCCCCAGGCCGAGGGAGATTGACAGTTATTTTGTGTTTCTTCCATTTGCGAATCATCGCACCAACTGTTGTCACCTTCTCACCAAGCTGCTTGGAGATGGTCTTGTAGCCCATTCCAGCCTTGTGTAGGTCTACAATCTTGTCCCTGACATCCTTGGAGAGCTCTTTGGTCTTGGCCATGGTGGAGAGTTTGGAATCTGATTGATTGATTGCTTCTGTGGACAGGTGTCTTTTTATACAGGTAACAAGCTGAGATTAGGAGCACTCCCTTTAAGAGTGTGCTCCTAATCTCAGCTCGTTACCTGTATAAAAGACACCTGGGAGCCAGAAATCTTTCTGATTGAGAGGGGGTCAAATACTTATTTCCCTCATTAAAATGCAAATCAATTTAAAACATTTTTGACATGCGTTTTTCTGGATTTTTTTGTTGTTATTCTGTCTCTCACTGTTCAAATAAACCTACCATTAAAATTATAGACTGATCATTTCTTTGTCAGTGGGCAAACGTACAAAATAAGCAGGGGATCAAATACTTTTTTCCCTCACTGTAAGGCGGGGATTTGCCTAGCAGTGATTTATAGATGGCCTGGAGCCAGTGGGTTTGACAGAGTTGACAGAGTTTATAATGCTGATTTGCTTCTAATGCTTGTAAGGCTGATTTGCCTGAAAAGTGAAAGTTATTTGTGTGTATCTCTAGGCCGGGATTCAATCTGTGGTGTGCTACAGTGCCTATACAGCATTTTCCCCTATGTTTGTGGAGATCACATGCATGGTAAACGCTGCACATGTTGGCTCAAACTTCAAAAGTTTGTTATATATAGTGCGCCTTGCACTGAATCCTGGCCCTAATCAGAAAAGGCTACCGAATAGTGTGTGTGTGTGTCCTCTGTGCTTGACATGGTAAAGTAGTAGAGAGATCCATGTGATTGATGTGTTGTTCTCTGCTTCTCTCCCACAGCCACGTCCTCCTGGGTGCAAGCGGAGCCCCTGGTCCAGTCCCCTCTGCCGGTGGTCCATAGCGGGCACAGGAGGACACCCTCAGAGGCTGAGCGCTGGCTGGAGGAGGTGGCCAAGGCCGTCAAGGCCCAGCAACAGACCCCCACCCTGCCCCCGCCACCCATCCAGCTCACCCCTGCCATTCCAGGTCCACCCATGTCAAGCACAGCGATGTCTGTGCCACCTATGTCAGGTGTGCCCCTATTGGGGGCATCCATGCCGGGGGCAACCATGCCCACTTCCATGCAGCCCTTTCCCTTGGCATTTGATGCCACTCCCGCGCCCGTGGGCATGTATGCCCAGCCACCCCTGCAGCCAGCGTTTGTACCCATGCAGGCCTACATGCCCGCCCTGGCCAACAGCATGACGTACTCCAACGCCAGTGTGCCTGTGGTGGGCATCACGCCTTCCCAGATGGTGGCTAATGTCTTCTGCACGGCAGGTGGCTCTACCAGCGGGACTTCCATGGGCGTGGGCACAGGGCCCAAAATGGGCATGCTCAGTGGCGGGCACCGCCACTCTTTCTCCGGCCAGCCGGGCGGGTTCCCTATGCCACCCTTCGGAGCTCATCCCACCGTCAACGGCCTCCCCCACAACATTCCCACCTCCTCCCTCGCCACCATCACGCAGAACGGCACTAGCAGCAACGGCGGCAGCAGCACTAGCAGCAGCTGGCCACCGGAGGGCGCACAGCAGGCCAACCCGCCCCCAGCCAATGCCCAGGAGGTTGATCGCTTCGAGGCAAAGTGGGCCGCGCTGGAGACCAAATCGCAACCCAGGGAGGCGCCCAACCCCTTCTCCAATGACTTGCAAAATACCTTTGAGATCGAGCTTAAACTCGGTATTAACCCAGGTCAGGCCACTGCATAGACTATGATGATACAGACCCCCAACAAGACTGAACCACTCCACTCCCCCCCAGCCCCCTGCCCCTAAATGCTTTCACTCCCCCTCCTCTTAATTTTCTCCTCCTCTGTTGAGACCCCAGGATGTAAATTGGGTCTGAATGCAGGGGGGACATGATGACTGTGTATAGGGCTCCTCACGATGCATTCCATGGGATTTCTAGCATTCATGTTCTGCGTGGGGATCTGTGGAGGAGCCAGAGAATATGGACACATCACAGGACACTTAGAGAGATTACGTTGATGTTACCCAAGCACAGCAAAGGCCCTGGTTGACTAGCCAATGACACGACTCGATGGTAGAGACCCCAAATGAGGCGTCGACCAATAAGAGTGACAGACAGTTTGACGGCCAAAATGGTTATATTTATTATTTTTACTTAGATTTAACCGTTATAGTTTTACATCTTTTATTTAATTTTTTATCAGTGTTCAAATGTTGTTTCTCCCTGTATTTATTTTTATGGAACTGGAAAGAGGAGGGAAATAACTAGCAACTGTAACTGTGGCAACGGAGGGAGAAAAGAGAGGGAGTGAGTCATGACAAAGAGAGGGAGTGAGTCATGACAAAGAGAGGGAGTGAGTCATGACAAAGAGAGGGAGTGAGTCATGACAAAGAGAGGGAGTGAGTCATGACAAAGAGAGGGAGTGAGTCATGACAAAGAGAGGGAGTGAGTCATGACAAAGAGAGGGATTGAGTCATGACAAAGAGAGGGAGTGAGTCATGACAAAGAGAGGGATTGAGTCATGAAATGAGAGGGAGTGAGTCATGACAAAGAGAGGGAGTGAGTCATGACAAAGAGAGGGAGTGAGTCATGACAAAGAGAGGGAGTGAGTCATGAAATGAGAGGCTGGAAATAAGTGTAAATAGCATGCTTTTTTCACCCTCTATTTATTACCAATCCATGTGTAACCGTCAATTTGCTATTCAACCCAAATGAGTCACTGTTAGCTAAATCACCATGGTGACCCAACGCACCTCTCTGTCCCAGTGCCACTCCACCTGCAGGGCAGACACACTAGAACCCTAGAACATTCTGGAAAGGGTTCAAATGGTACAAAGAGTGCGGCACATTCTAATGTGGTTGGTTGACTCACGTTATATTCTGAAGGGTAGTAGTCACCCCCGTACGAGTGTAGTCAGTCAACACTATGAGGGTCTATTTGGAAATGTTGAGCCTGAGATTCAAGAGAGGAGGGAGGGAAGAGCTTGAGCACTTCGTAAGATAAAGATGGTGAGTTTGGGGCGAGGTCATGTGGCTTTATTTGAGAGGAAGTTATGATGTTGTTTAGTCACTGGGGCTGTGTTTGAAATGGCACCCTATTCCTGCATAGGGCCTTGGTCAAAAGTAGTGCCTCCCACTGGGCACAGACGTCAATTCAACGTCTATTCCACGATGGTTCAACGTCATTTCATTGAAATTACGTGGATACAACGTTGATTCAACCAGTGTGTGCCAAGTGGGCTGGGTCAAGCTGCACTTCTGACATAATGGGACTACAGTCAGTTTGTTGAGGCTTCTGGATCCAGGCTCTTGTCCTGAGGCCATTGTGACGGGCAGAAGTTATGGCACCTGCTGTGTGTGCTCTACCAGGCTGAGTAAAGATGCCTAGAGGAAGTGATGAGGCACTTACCACTTTAAACAGACAGAGGAAGGCATCCATCTTTGTAGAGGGCAAACAAAGACATGAAAGTGATATGGATAGTCGGGGGAGAGAGAAAGAAAACCAGAAGGTGAAAGATAGACGGAGAGATCGAGGGCATACTTACGAGAATGAGTTTGAGGATGTGGACTATTGAAAGGCTGTGATGAACTGAGAAAAGATGAAAGAAGAAAAGGGTGGATTAATCAAATACCATACAGGCAATGCACTGTCAAACAACGTTACTTTAAACAGACTGGTTGTTTCATTCCTTCAACTCCTTTCACTGCTCCCAAACAAAGGCACTTCTGTTAGAATGATACTCACCATGCATTTAGAGCTCCATAGAAACAATACATTACTGTTTGATCATATTCTCAAAAGAGGCAAGCATTTTCTTCCGTGGCTTTAGTTTAAACACACAAAGACAATAAATATGCAGTATACTATAGCTACAACCCCATATTGGAATTTTAGCCCACTTGGCAGGACCTCCAATGGCAGATCAAGACAGGGCAAATGCATGTGCTTAGATGGGATGCTTTATGCTATTTGCCATTATACTGCTTTATGTATGATCCTGCCCCCAACAACATGAGTGTCTGGGAGTGAGACGGAGTGGGACCCAGGGGACCAGTGTTATTGAATGGACATCACAACTAGACAAACAGGCTCCATCCATGCCGCTCTCCTGGTCATTAACTCCTTAGGACTCGGCCAATCAGGCTTTGCCATTTTCACGTGGCACAATACTGACTGACATCCATTTGCTTTCCCAAAGATATAAAGCACCAGTGAGGAGCCCATGTTTTTGCTCGTTTAGACAAATCGATTTTCTAAATTAATTCTCTCCCTGTCTTTTAAGAGAAAAGACGTAGTCATTCATGACATTTTTATTTTGTTAAGTTCCCCTTTTTTGCACGCCCTCTAAATTAAAATGTAGGTTAATTATGTTCAAAATAAGAAAACTAAATGACCTCATAAACCATAATGTAGTGATAACAAACCAGTGGAGTTTATTTTTATTGTTTATTTACAGAATTTTGTATTTAAACCTACATATTTGTATTGTAATTACATTGTACAAAGATAAATAAATAATATAATATTAAAATTGTGTTGGTGTCTGTGTTTCTGCATTCTGTATCATGCTCTCTCTCCCTTTCTCCAAATGCAGTTCATGTACCTGTCTTATCCCCACCAATTCATAAGATCTTTATCTTCACCAGTAGTAGTAGATCAAATGTATCTGCACCCTGTGCCAACGGTGATGCATGTACCATTGGCATAAAAAACCCTAATGTATACAGTCTACTTCTAAAGATGGTCAATAGTTGAACAGCACCAGTCATTAAATTCAGTGAATTTTCTCCATAGCTGTATTTTATATCTCAAACCCACTCTCTGCCCTGAACGTCATGGAGTGAAGCATTGAAGAATTCTCTCTCATTGAACACATTGACTACGCTTGCCAACTCTGCCACTGTTCACAGGACTCGTAGAGCAGCCTTTTCCAGTGTCTTGACAAAAGCTCAGGCCACTAATGCAACCAGACAAGGCCCCTTTTCTTGCCCAAGGGCCATGAAAAAGAGGACAGCCACAGAACACTTGAGTCATTTTAGTAGTAACTCTCGTCATTGTCTTTCCCCTACTGCTCACTGCAGTGCTGAGGAAGAAACGGGACAACAAGAAACACAAAGACACAGTCAGAGACAGAGAGTTAGAACGAGGACAGGCCCCACTACTACAGAACAGTGCAAGGGAAATGGGTTGCCATGGACACAGCAGTGAAAGGGTAATTTATAAACATGCCAAAACTGCCAGAGTAGGCAGAAAAAGCTCAATACATATATAAATTAAACTGCCATAAGGAAAGAATGTTGCTGGAAATAAAAAAGCAGACTAATGTGCTCACATGTAGGCCACATCCTAGTGGTGTCTGTCTGGCCTGAGGAGAAGCTGTCATCTAAGACTCTTCACTGTTTCTATTATGGACATACTGTACTGCAGGTCCCATATTCATAAAGCGTCTCAGAGTATCTTTTTAATGTGTATTACTGCTGCTACTTTACCCCAATTCAATTTATGAGATGGGTGCATAATCCCCTAAAGTCATTCATTAAAACAAACCCCTAAAAAAAAAAAAAAAGGTTTTTATCTGCGTTCAATCTGGTGCCTCACACAGTGCTGGTGAGTGTGTGATGGCAGCATGTGATAGAAGAATCAGAATCACAACCACCCGAGCCACTGCCTGTTCACCCCGCTATCATCCAGAAGGCGAGGTCAGTCCAGGTGCATCAAAGCTGGGACCGAGAGACTGAAAAACAGCTTCTATCTCAAGGCCATCAGACTGTCAAATAGCCTTCACCAGCACATTAGAGGCTTCCTCTAATAAAAACAGCATAGATTAGAAATCACTGACCACATTAATAAATGGAACACTAGTCACTTTAATAATGTTTACGTATCTTGCATTCCTCATCTCATACGTATATACTGTATTCTATACTATTCTACTGTATCTTAGTCTATGCCACTCTGACATTGCTCGTCCATATATTTATATATTCTTAACTCCATTGCTTTACTTAGATTTGTGTGTATTGGGTATATGTTGTGAAATTGATAGATATTACTGCACTGTCGGAGCAAGAAACACAAGCATTTCGCTACACCACCATTAGAATAACGTTGGTAATTGCTATGGATGTGAAATGTAAGTGCTCGCACGTGACCTTTAAAGTCCTTGAGGTAGAGAGAGGGAGGTGATTAAGTAGATTAATTGCGTACATTTAGACATTGATCAGTTCAGAGCCTATTGTTCTCTCCCTGTAGCAGGCTGCTACACATACAGTCATTCAGCAAGGTCATTTGAACATATGAATGGTGTATTTTAATATTTATTATGTTGTTTAAAGAATCCTTTATCTACAGTATAAAAATGGTGGTTTGAAGCCTGATGGCTCCAAGCAACCTCAAATGTCAAAACACACAACCAGACACACACACACACACAGGTATTCAGACCCCTTAACTTTTTCCACATTTTGTTACGTTACAGCCTTATTCTAAAATGTATTAAATTGTTTTTCCCCCTCATCAATATACACACAATACCCCATAATGACAAAGCAAAAACAGTTTATTTATTTTTTGGTGCAAATTTTTATAAATAAAAAACCCTGAAATACCACATTTACATAAGTAAGACCCTGTACTCAGTACTTTGTTGAAGTACCTTTGGCGGCGATTACAGCTTAGAATCTTCTTGGGTATGATGCTACAAGCACACCTGTATTTGGGGAGTTTCTCCCATTCTTC